AAGCAGTGGTATCAACGCAGAGTACTTGAACAGATTTCTATCGAAATCGAGGTTTTTACCGTTTTTCGTGGAAATTGTGGGAAAACAAAACTTTTCGTTCTAAAAACTGGCCAGCCACAGAGAGAGCCCTCCGGAGCTGAACCAGCGAGACCACAGCTTCCATGCTGGGTCTTCATTCCGGGAGCAAAGGCATTTTCTGTGGCCAAATTTCTGTCGAAATCGATTTTTTTTACCGTTTTTCGTGGAAATTGTGGGAAAACAAAACATTTCGTTCTAAAAACTGGCCAGCCATAGAGAGAGCCCTCCGGAGCTCAACCAGCGAGACCACAGCTTCCATGCTGGGTCTTCATTCCGGGAGCAAAGGCATTTTCTGTGGCCAAATTTCTGTCGAAATCGAGGTTTTTACCGTTTTTCGTGGAAATTGTGGGGGGAAAACAAAACTTTTCGTTCTAAAAACTGGCCAGCCATAGAGAGAGCCCTCCGGAGCTCAACCAGCGAGACCACAGCTTCCATGCTGGGTCTTCATTCCGGGAGCAAAGGCATTTTCTGTGGACAGATTTCTATCGAAATCGAGGTTTTTACCGTTTTTCGTGGAAATTGTGGGAAAACAAAACTTTTCGTTCTAAAAACTGGCCAGCCACAGAGAGAGCCCTCCGGAGCTGAACCAGCGAGACCACAGCTTCCATGCTGGGTCTTCATTCCGGGAGCAAAGGCATTTTCTGTGGCCAAATTTCTGTCGAAATCGAGGTTTTTACCGCTTTTCGTGGAAATTGTGGGGGAAAACAGAATTTTTCGTTCTAAAAACTGGCCAGCCATAGAGAGAGCCCTCCGGAGCTGAACCAGCGAGACCACAGCTTCCATGTTGGGTCTTCATTCCGGGAGCAAAGGCATTTTCTGTGGCCAAATTTCTGTCGAAATCGAGGTTTTTACCGTTTTTCGTGGAAATTGTGGGGGAAAACAAAACTTTTCGTTCTAAAAACTGGCCAGCCATAGAGAGAGCCCTCCGGAGCTCAACCAGCGAGACCACAGCTTCCATGCTGGGTCTTCATTCCGGGAGCAAAGGCATTTTCTGTGGCCAAATTTCTGTCGAAATCGATTTTTTTACCGTTTTTCGTGGAAATTGTGGGGAAAACAAAACTTTTCGTTCTAAAAACTGGCCAGCCATAGAGAGAGGCCTCCGGAGCTCAACCAGCGAGACCACAGCCTCCATGCTGGGTCTTCATTCCGGGAGCAAAGGCATTTTCTGTGGCCAAATTTCTGTCGAAATCGAGGTTTTTACCGCTTTTCGTGGAAATTGTGGGGGAAAACAGAATTTTTCGTTCTAAAAACTGGCCAGCCATAGAGAGAGCCCTCCGGAGCTGAACCAGCGAGACCACAGCTTCCATGCTGGGTCTTCATTCCGGGAGCAAAGGCATTTTCTGTGGCCAAATTTCTGTCGAAATCGATTTTTTTACCGTTTTTCGTGGAAATTGTGGGAAAACAAAACATTTCGTTCTAAAAACTGGCCAGCCATAGAGAGAGCCCTCCGGAGCTCAACCAGCGAGACCACAGCTTCCATGCTGGGTCTTCATTCCGGGAGCAAAGGCATTTTCTGTGGCCAAATTTCTGTCGAAATCGAGGTTTTTACCGTTTTTCGTGGAAATTGTGGGGGAAAACAAAACTTTTCGTTCTAAAAACTGGCCAGCCATAGAGAGAGCCCTCCGGAGCTCAACCAGCGAGACCACAGCTTCCATGCTGGGTCTTCATTCCGGGAGCAAAGGCATTTTCTGTGGACAGATTTCTATCGAAATCGAGGTTTTTACCGTTTTTCGTGGAAATTGTGGGAAAACAAAACTTTTCGTTCTAAAAACTGGCCAGCCACAGAGAGAGCCCTCCGGAGCTGAACCAGCGAGACCACAGCTTCCATGCTGGGTCTTCATTCCGGGAGCAAAGGCATTTTCTGTGGCCAAATTTCTGTCGAAATCGAGGTTTTTACCGCTTTTCGTGGAAATTGTGGGAAAACAAAACTTTTCGTTCTAAAAACTGGCCAGCCACAGAGAGAGCCCTCCGGAGCTGAACCAGCGAGACCACAGCTTCCATGCTGGGTCTTCATTCCGGGAGCAAAGGCATTTTCTGTGGCCAAATTTCTGTCGAAATCGAGGTTTTTACCGCTTTTCGTGGAAATTGTGGGGAAAACAGAATTTTTCGTTCTAAAAACTGGCCAGCCATAGAGAGAGCCCTCCGGAGCTGAACCAGCGAGACCACAGCTTCCATGTTGGGTCTTCATTCCGGGAGCAAAGGCATTTTCTGTGGCCAAATTTCTGTCGAAATCGAGGTTTTTACCGTTTTTCGTGGAAATTGTGGGGGAAAACAAAACTTTTCGTTCTAAAAACTGGCCAGCCATAGAGAGAGCCCTCCGGAGCTCAACCAGCGAGACCACAGCTTCCATGCTGGGTCTTCATTCCGGGAGCAAAGGCATTTTCTGTGGCCAAATTTCTGTCGAAATCGATTTTTTTACCGTTTTTCGTGGAAATTGTGGGAAAACAAAACTTTTCGTTCTAAAAACTGGCCAGCCATAGAGAGAGGCCTCCGGAGCTCAACCAGCGAGACCACAGCTTCCATGCTGGGTCTTCATTCCGGGAGCAAAGGCATTTTCTGTGGCCAAATTTCTGTCGAAATCGAGGTTTTTACCGCTTTTCGTGGAAATTGTGGGGAAAACAGAATTTTTCGTTCTAAAAACTGGCCAGCCATAGAGAGAGCCCTCCGGAGCTGAACCAGCGAGACCACAGCTTCCATGTTGGGTCTTCATTCCGGGAGCAAAGGCATTTTCTGTGGCCAAATTTCTGTCGAAATCGAGGTTTTTACCGTTTTTCGTGGAAATTGTGGGGGAAAACAAATATTTTCATTCTAAAAACTGGCCAGCCATAGAGAGAGCCCTCCGGAGCTCAACCAGCGAGACCACAGCTCCCATGCTGGGTCTTCTTTCCGGGAGCAAAGGCATTTTCTGTGGCCAAATTTCTGTCGAAATCGAGGTTTTTACCGTTTTTCGTGGAAATTGTGGGGGAAAACAAAACTTTCCGTTCTAAAAACTGGCCAGCCATAGAGAGAGCCCTCCGGAGCTCAACCAGCGAGACCACAGCTTCCATGCTGGGTCTTCATTCCGGGAGCAAAGGCATTTTCTGTGGCCAAATTTTTGTCGAAATCGAGGTTTTTACCGTTTTTCGTGGAAATTGTGGGGGAAAACAAAACTTTTCGTTCTGAAAACTGGCCAGCCACAAAGAAAGCCTGCAAACAGTGCAATTTTTTGCTGTTCAGTTGCTCTTCGGATTGTGAGTTTCGTCAACATTTCAAATGTTGAGTTCTGATGACGATTCTATGGAGAGTTGCAATTCTCAGATTTCATATCAAACTATTATGCAAAGGCAAGGAGGTAGCAAGGAAACGTTTGGTATGAACCTGGATTGTAGGTAAGGGCATGAAAAGAAGAGGAAACATGTATGTAAACAGTAGAGATTGCTACAGCTCTGAACGCTGTGATCAAACCGAGCATACGGTATTCGTCACGATTCGTCATCCCATGCGAAGTCAAAACACGTGCCGTCATCGCATGCAGTGTAGGGTGCGATCAATAGTCACATGCCGAGACAACCCTCTCCTCTCTAACTTGTCTGGGGTTCGGAGTACACCGCGCCTCTAAAAATCTCATTGTCTGTAACCTCTGCGAGGGTGTGATGTCTCGCGCGCTCACACTGTCAACAACTCGCCCTCCGCAACGCTGAAGGGGGGTGACCGGGGTAGGTGATCTATGTGTAGTTTTCGTCGTCTCGCCGGATGTTTCCAGTTTATATTATACGAGGATCCCGAACGGGATCCTCAGGGGATCACGGCTCATTTTCAAAGTCATTTATTACGTTGTGAAGAAAGTTCCCGGGTACTTTTGAAAATTTTATTTTCAAAAGCATTTTTTCGGCCCTCGGTCGGACTTTGACACCAAGTTTTTTACACTGTTCACTAGAGGGAAACCTAAACTTCTCAACATGGCTTCTGCGCCAAAACATGTTTGATCTGCACATCAAGAAAGAAGCTTTTTCCAACCAGAAAAATTTCACAAATTTTCTTCCTACAGCCATTTTTTGTGTAATTCAAAGAAATGCGTCTAAATCATGGGTGATCTGATTGAAGAGCCTGCTAGCTTCTGACCTGCAACTGCAGCCGCGTTTTGCGATTTGCGTAACTTGACTCTGACTACAACTCTTTTCGCAACTGGCGTCATTTCTGCGGGCGCCACGCCTGGAAGATAGGTCCAAAAGATGTGTAGGGCATTATCAACGATGTTCGCAATAATCAAAGATTTGGTCTACCCTATGCAGAACGAAAAGACATCAAAGCCATATATGTTTTGCACAAAATTGTCTTTGCAATGAAGTTTGAAGCTTCAGAAAAGGATCACTCTGCCTGAAGTAACAGCGATTTGGAAAAAATTTTCGCAAGTGCCCGTGAACTTTCTTTACGGCCTAATATCTTTGCAAAAGCTCAATAAAAACAATCAAAGTTGTGATGAAAATTTATTATGACAGTGCCAAGCATGTTTCCAGTAGCACGGATGAAATATGGAAGGATTGTGTTTCTCGATGAACTCCCGCTCGCGAGCGGAGGTTCATCGAAGATTCTTCAATTTGTGTTCTCACTTACCACTTCCATAAAAATGCTCAGCACTGTCATAATAGATCAAAGCATAACTTAACAAAGTTTCCATTGAGTTTTTGCACGGATAAATGGCTTCAAAATGAGCCGTGATTCCTTGAGGATCCCGTTCGGGACCATACAAGTTACCAAAATCTCAGCTTATACAGCATAGTGCTGCTATTTATCAAGCTAGAATATCAGGGTAGTAGTGCCTCCAAAAGATGGACAAACAAGGAGAAACACAGATCCCTACACATCGAGCTCTGAGGCGGATACTACCTGAATGGAAATCATTACCCGGACGGACGATTGATACATACCGCCCCTGGTGAGTTTTTCTTGAAATGGCCATAGGTTAATGCTGAAGTCAACGGCTATTACATTTATTGACACTTGAAGAATGCTGCAATAGGAATTCCATCTCCTGCCACTCCAGTGTTAGCAACATTGTAAGTGAAAACTAGATTTTTCGTGTAAACCTTCGCTTGACCGTCTTCCCACCTCGAAACTCCTCGGACATTGTCAGGTAATCCCTGCAAACAAATTTCCCGTTGATGCTAACAAGCACTTTAGATGCTTACTTTGAAATAGTCATTGATCCTTCCTGTCATTAGTGATTTGTTCCAGTTTTCGTCATATAAGGCAAACTTTCCACCATTCTTAAAAAAGCTGATTGATATTTCAAATTTTCAAGGACTCATGCGTTAGTATTATTACCGACAAAAGCATTTGCCGCTTGTCATGCCATCTCATTGCCCCGTTTGGAGTGAAAACTGCAGAAGGTAGTTCCTAAATGTATTTGTGTTCAATATTTTATGGTCATAACATTTTTGCAATCGATTCTCGCGTGACCGGTTTTTAAAATTGTATATGTGATGCTCACCTTAGGGTAAGAAGAATCTAGTCTCATCGTGTTTGCTCCAATCACTTTGTAACCGTAAACCTACACATGAAGTACAATGGGAAAATACATGGGATATCATGACTTACTGATCGTTCATGCACTAAGACAACGATTTCGTTTTCCACGTCATATACAGCGGCATTCACTGAATTAGGGCCTGATGGGAATAGTTCATCAATTCTATTTGACGAAACTACCCTATCGCCTAGTATCGAGTATACTTTGTTGCCATAGAAGAGATAGGAGTACTTTGAGCCTGAAAATAACATCAAGAAATTGTCATAAATTGGTGATGTGCAAAAAATCCCTTTGTGCGGTGCAAATGGCATGTGGAAAGAACATGACTGGGTGTTTTCATATTCGTTCTGGAAGGGTAAACTATACCTGAGCAAAATGCATCTGCGCGAGAGGGACAGTCTTTTCCAGTGGGATTGAATTCGTTGGGCGACGGCAGAAACCTACAATGAGAGACTGTGAAAATCGAAGTGCTGTGTTACGCCGGAAATATACTATGTTTGTTAGTCTGACTACCTCAATATAGGTAGTGAATGAGAATTGAAAACTGTCTCAATCCCTTGACAAAACGAAGAAAAATCAAATAGAAAATTTTCTCGCTACAATTTAGTCACTATGCGCCTTTCGCATCAATAAATTTGATCTGATGCACTCAAAGAATGGTTTGTTAATTCATATGCACAGTGAGGAAAATCTGTTCACTTTATTTTTTCCACTTGATGGAAAAGACATTTGCCACCATTCTTGTCCATCGGAGTGTAACAATTGCAATGCGACCTAATCATCCCATCGTTGGAAAAAAGCATATACATCCCAATAAAAAGTACCTTCTCAATGTTGTGGTCGGTTCAAAAGTTGTCGAAAATGGCGTATGTGTTGTTGTGGGAGGAACGGGCTGCACCTAAAAATTTCAAACTGTAGAACAGTATAAGAATCTTGTCTGGTTCTGAACTACCTATTTTCGATTACATTCAAAGGTTTCATGATAGTCTTAATGACCAAAAACAGAGCTGCCTTCGAACAAATGCGATTGATTGCGGACTTGCGAGAAATTAAATAATGAGCTGATATGCTCATCGTGCATTAAAGACGGAAGCTGCGAGCTCCCATATTTACATATTGATTCGTCCATTCATACATAGTTTTGAAAATTTCAGCCTTCTAAAACGATTTGAATCATTCTAAAAGCTTTTCGGTTTCCTTTTAATCATATGACAGACTCTTTATATGAATACTGTATGAAAGACTGAGGTTTTTCTTGCTGAAATCCCTCTACCGTTATCACCTATATTTTTGATTCCCTTGACGCACTTCGCCTATTTTTATAATTTTATGCTTACTTGGGTTGCCCTAATTCTAAAATTTCTTGTTCTAATCTATAAAGAAATCACATAGCGTGAAAGGAACAGGCTTCGTAGTCAGGGTCAAGCAAGGGGTGTGGCACACGATCACTGGTTACGACCCCCCCCCCCCCCCTGATTGTTGTCTTAATAAGACCCCCCCCCCTGAACTATACACTTAAGATAGCACTACTTGAAGGCTCTGTCAAACATAATGGGCAACATATCCATAATTAGCATGTCAAATAACCCTTGTAGACGAAGTGTGAGCGAATTCTGAAGTTTAAGATACTAGGCTACCTAAGTGAAATGGTCGAATTCCAACATGGTTAACTTTGTTTCAAAGGTGAATTAGCTATCCGTTTTTGCACTCAAGACAAAGCACTACTCCTTCTTTGTCCACCTTAGGAATCCCGCTTCAGAAGACCTCCAAACTGTGGAATTAGAAGCCAACCAAAACCTCGTTTTTATCATTTTTCGGTTTTGATGACTGTGCTTTCACCAAATATGACTCAAAGCTAAGAAGACGAATCAGGCTCCAAACAGTCCTATGGAATTTACAAGGTTTAGGCTATCGATTCATATAAATACTGTCCGCTAAAAATGTTTTTTCGACATAGTTAATGGGGTGCGGCACACAAGGGGTGTGCCGCACCCCATTAACTATATCAAAAAAACATTTTTAGCAAACTTTATTTATATGAATCGATAGCCTAGAACTCCTAGTTTTCACAGGAGTGATTTGAGCCTGATTCGTTTTCTTTGCTCTGAGTGATATTTGGTGAAAGCACAGCCATCAAAACCGAAAAATGATAAAAACGAGATTTTGGTTGGCTTCTAATTCCACAGTTTGGAGGTCTTCTGAAGCGGGATTCCTGAGGTGGACAAAAGTGCGTTGTCTTGAGTGCAAAAACGGATAGCTAATTCACCTTTGGAACAAAGTTAACCATGTTGGAATATGACCATTTCACTTAGGTAGTATCTTGAATCTTCAGAATTCGCTCACACTTTGTCTACAAGGGTTAATTGACATGCTAGTTATGGATATGATACGAATATCATGTTATCACTATTATCAGATTACCCAACTACGACCCCCTCCCCTTTTGACTCCTCAATACGACCCCCCAGGTGTGGCGTGCCGCACCCCACGCTTGACCCTGTTCGCAGTTGCTTATTTACAACTGTTTGCTTTGAACAGTCTTCTCACTCCAAATTGTATTTATGATTAGCATTCTTCTTACACCACTGATTTTTTGGGATGCTTGTAACAGACGTGTCGTAGCTTGAAAGCTAAATTCCTGCTATCATTTTAACAAGGGAATGGTCAGAATTTGAAAAGGCCAATCCAAGCAGCTGCCTCCACTCCGTGCAGCATTCTGATTTCGGATCTATATTCCATATCTGCTTATCGCTTTCGTGGACGAAATTATGGGCAGTTTTATTGCGAAAAATCTTGCATAAAGGGTGTAAAATTGAGCAGTGTACTTTCAGCTCAACTTTAGACTTTAAAAATATAAAGTGATCTAGCTGCATGTACTGGCCCAGCATTAAGCCAAACATGGCTTTGTACTGCAAAATTAGCCCTTTCCATGCACAATTTCTTAGCATAATAACGGCCTCAAACGGCTCATAAGTTCGCCTACATAGGCGCTAAGCATATATGGAATATAGATCCGAAGTCAGCGTTTTATGCTGCATCTAACTGTATGCAGCTGGTTTGGATTGCCCACTTCGATCTCTCCATTCCTTTGTAAGCACGAATGGTAAGTGAAGCAAGGAATAATTGAGTAATTGTACAAAATTAGTCTGCTCTCCTCAGAAAAGGTTAGATTGAAAGGAAACCATTCAAGCAAATTTTATAGGGAATCCCACTGTTAACGATATATCACTCGGTTTACATACTGGTTCAATAACGCAGAACATAAAAAAATGCTGCGCTTGACTGTTTGTTTTCCGCAGTGATGCTGCTTCAATCTCAGTCAAAGTAAATGGAGAAGAATGACTGACATTTTACTAAGATTTCGCTTTTCTCACATTTGCATTCGCTAATACTGAGCGTAACGTAGATGTAGTGGAAGAAGGGGGCTAATGATGCATAAATGCTAACTCGAAAGTGAGGCGATGTTTTATTTCCTGGCAGCTTGCCATTACTTGCAGGTCACAAAAGCTAAAATCAACATGTAAATATGGCAGGAGTAAAGTGAGAAGAAATGACCACAAAAGGTAGTCGTCGACATAATTCAGGACTGTTTACAAACAATGCCGCTTCCATCTACGAGTCTGGAAAAGCAGAAGAATGAGCGCTTATGGGGCGCTAGAATTTACTTCCGATCAATTTTTTCTCAAATCTAGAAGTTCGAAAGACAGCTTCTTCTGTAAAGGTTTACGCTTGTTTGCATTGCTCTGATGTAATATGTATAAATATGTGACGAATATTTTGACAATTGAACTAATAACAAAGACGATCACAGACATGCATGATATCAACAAAAAGAGTTCGATCGAAAAAAATATATAGTGATCAATGTATTCCTAAAGAAATGCATCAAGATCATTCCATTGCAAAAATCAATTATCTCTATTTACCGGGACGCGGTTGCTGGGAATATGAATCTCAGCTCCAGCATTTGGATTTTCTGAACTTCCGCGCGGAATGTGGATTTCATCTCCTAGATTTGGGTTTTTGCGTGCTCCGCCAATCTCGCCGGGATCTGGGCTGATCTCGTGAACCTGGAAATATTGCATAATTGATATCTTGTCTTGCTTTATTTTACTATATTCTTGACTAATTCCTCGATTTGACTAAAACTGCTGGCATTTGTTTAGAAATGATGATAACAAAAAAAGAAACACTTTCTCATATACGTCAGCCTCTTGTAAAAGCCTCTAAAGCGCGCAAAAGATCCAGACGCTCTTTTTAGTGCTAGAGATGATTGACTGGGAACAAAGCCTGAACGTCCAACGTATCCAAATTGATCAATGCTAAGTCAGGGTCTGTTCATCAAATGGTCACGTCAGCGATGTTGTGAGCAGTGCCTGAAGTCTGGGGTTCTAGAAGGTATACAAACTCACTTGTTCATGATTTCCACCGGTGAGAAAATCGAAAAATCCGGCTTCTATGACAGCAACGAGGCAGTATAGGATAAGCAATCGCATGTTGAGAAAATGGACTGAATTCAAACTTTATTACTACAGGAAATAACAATGACTGTAATAAATTTTAGGTGAAAAATTAAATGGTGGTAGAAGACAATAAGAAGTCTTGCGGTTTCATTGAAGAAAGGACCAAGGTGTAATCGACACTGCGACGGTTAGATGTTAATAGACTGCCTAGCGAAAACCTGTTTCTATCTCACGATGACTAATATAGCGTCATTATTTACCGAACATCAGTTGAGATGTTTCTTGTCTTTGAGGGTTTTTATCAACTCCACTGCGAACAAAGAGATCTTCTTATTTACCGAACCGAATGTTTGACGCAACAGAACTGAAAACGATTTACTTTACGGCAGATCCTTCATTCAGTTAATGGTGTCTTCGGCAAAAGCACTTTGATTGGAATGAAATTCTGTCTGAGTAGAATTTATTTTTCAATGAAAGAAACCCTCAAAAAGTGACAAACCCCAATTTCTCATCGTGCGCAAAGACAATTCGGTCCTTGTTCAAGGAATTTTGAAATAGGTCATCATTTCCATTTTATCGTTGAATAGGAGAACTGTCTGTAAAACATCAAATTACTCTTTACATACTGCAGTATGAAAGCTAAGAAAGTCGCAGAACTGAGAACTCTTGGAATTTTAGCTATGTTGAGGCATGACTGCTCCTTATTTAATGGAAAATCCTGAATAGTTTGATAGGTGCAGTAAGTCCAAACTCATGCCAGTTTAGGCGGGGTGGAACCGGCGGACTCCGCTTTGCAAGGTTCGGGTTCGCAGCTACAGCCATATCGTTATAGAAGCCTCTGTCTGCGAATCCTCATTTTCCGCAATCTCTAGTAGGCAAAATGTCAATGCTGTGCGCTCGCAAAGCCTCCAGCGAAGCGAACGGGCTGCTCACAAACTGTAGAAAATGCGTTAGACTGCTTCCCTACAAAAATTCATTGACAACAGCAAGGAAAGTTAGAAGATTTCGTACCAAAACCAAATCATTTCTTCGCCAACCTCCTACTACTCTAGACTCTGAAAAATTGAGTGGCAGTAGTACAAATCACAACAAAAAAACATTGGGCAGCGAGTTCCTGTCAATAGAAGCGATTGGAAAAATTCGGTTATTATTCTCAAAGTCGACTAAAAAATTGGGAGATTTGAACTCGAATGCTCATAGATTCGTTGTTTTCTGGCCCAGAGATAAATAAAAGTTCTTAGCAAATAACCCCATAAAACCACTTTCACATTTCATTGAAGGAGTTGGGTGCTGCTGCACCTGAAATGCGCAATTCTTTTCTCCTTTTCAAACGAAACTAGATTACACACGTGCACTTGAGACCAAGATAAAAATGCTGAAAGTGAAAGAAAGACATCAGAATCCATGTTCGACTATCCATAAATCTTGGCATAGTTTGAATCTTCTGATTAGTTTCTTTAGCAGCGTCCAAGATTGGTACAGATATTTATTCCACAGTATACAGACTGACGTTTCGGCAAACTCGCCTTCTTCAGAGTCTGAAAAGTCGAAAACACATAAGTGAACTATCCGATCAAACACCTTATCGACTACAGAAAAGAGCCCAACCCTCCAGATAGCAACAGTATCAACCAAAACGCAAGATTAAGCCAGTGCTCACCTTAAAAGATGACCGATCTTAAAAGATCTATCATCTTTTAAGGTGAGCACTGGCTTAATCTTGCGTTTTGGTTGATACTGTTGCTATCTGGAGGGTTGGGCTCTTTTCTGTAGTCGATAAGGTGTTTGATCGGATAGTTCACTTATGTGTTTTCGACTTTTCAGACTCTGAAGAAGGCGAGTTTGCCGAAACGTCAGTCTGTATACTGTGGAATAAATATCTGTACCAATCTTGGACGCTGCTAAAGAAACTAATCTGAAAGAAAGACAGTCTTTTTAAACTCCTAACACTATCCTTCTCTCTAGCAAGGCAGAACTACGCCAAAACTGTGTCGTACCTTCTGCGGACTCGCAGCACGGAAAATACGCAAGAGTTTCCAGCACCTTTCCCGCACCATAATTAGTACTAGTATTCGCACCCGGAGGGTTTTAGCACCTCCTTACCGAAAGGTGTGGCCTTGGCCATAAAAACAGGCTTGAAAACTCTGCAAATATAGAATGATAATAAATAGGAGAGTTTTGAAAACACTTTTTTTGTGCTTATTTCTAACTATAGCTCTAGCACAATACCTGAGGGAAGAAGATCAGAACTTGAAAGCGTAAGCTCCTTTTCTTTTTAGAAAGAAGAGTAATGATTGCCTTATTCAACCAAGAACAGAATAGTTGCAGCATCAATTCTTTCTCATACGAATGACTGCTATATGAACAAGTCGAAGAATTACCTCCATTTAACTGATATTATTTTCTAAAATTGCTTGGAATTGAGTGCTGGATTTTGCTATAAGGCTTTGGCCATACTTTGCCCGTGTTGCCGATGTTTCCAGTGTTACTCGTGTTACTCGTGTTGCCGATGTTTCCAGTGTTACTCGTGTTTTTAGTGTTACCGCCTTTATTGCGTTGATTCTTGAAATGATTGCTAGTACAGTTTCATTCTTGAACGTAATCTCACTGAGTGGTGAGTATACAGGACCTGAGGCGATCATACTTCAATAATAATACCATGCTAGAAACTTGCTTTAAAAAGTCTTTGTGACACAAATATAATCATAATGTTTGATTTGTAGCACAATGAGCTCTAACCTACTTGGGGATTAACTATTTGAGTAATTACAAATAGAAGAACTCAGATTTTTTCTTGAAAGGAACCATTTGTGGGATAAATGATAGAAGATTTGGCGTCTTCAATACCTCTGCGAGCATGATAGTCGATCGCGCTCAACTCTATATTCGAAGAGGCAAGTGAATGGACATTCGAATGCTGTTTTTTTGATAGGACTAATACGGCATACAGGTCCTAAATGATTGATATTTGTATGGGAATGGTCAGAGGCTAGTGAAACTTCAAGTTGTTCAAAATCTCGAATACTTCTGTCTAACCCTCACAGCTTCACCTAGAGACAAGTACCCTGTTTCAGCCAGCGTGTCATTGTTTTCCAGGAAGAGGCTCAAACACCTCTATAGACGTTCGGATATTCGGATGGCGTGAGAATTTTCTCCAGTCATTCGGAACATAGAGCACACTTTTATTTGCCTCAACATGCCGTTGTTCAAAAGAAATTCTCTATCTTTCAAGCAATTGATTGATGAATTGGAAGCAAGATCATGCACATTTCATATTTCTCAACGCACTAGAGTACGATTCATGAAGCTGAATTCGATTTTATTATATTTTGGTCTTCATTTTCGTGAATCAACCTTTCTAAAGAAGGGCAAATCGTGATAATTGGAAATTAGTAGCTATGATTAGAGGTTTAACTCAATAACTTTCTAAAATTATCAATGGTTACAATAATTATGATTTCCAAATATTTTTCGACTCGTGTTTTTTCCCCACAATGGTCGGCGCCTCAACGTGGCGTGAAGGTGACAATGGGTGTCGAACTGCTGCACAGCCGAGTGTATACTCTAGCAGGGCCTCCCAAGCTGTGAAGGAGTTCGACGTTTCCGGTTTCGGCCGAATGCCTAGCTAAGACCCGCCAGGCCAGATCCCACCGCCGTCTGGTTTTTTGGTCGCTAGGCGGTTCTGCTCCCCGCTCCAAGCCCGGGGTCAGCGATCGCCCGTGGAAATCAAGAGTTGGCTTAGTAAGTTTGCTCTTGTAGGGGAGCAAATCTCATTACTCAGACAGCAAAAAGATATAGAAAAAAACCCTGCGCATCGGATCCCACCTACGGCGCCGGGTAATAGCAAGAACGGTGTCAGAGTAGTCAGGGCGCCTTTCGGATTGGACAAATACGACACGTCTGCCCGGACGACACGCCATGGAGACTGCTTCATGCTCTGCACCTACAATGCCAGGACAGTTTCCACAAACGCCGACCTCCACGCTCTTCTCGATGCTGCAGAGCACTTCAAGTACCACGTCATCGCTCTGCAGGAAACGAAGTCTAGGAAGAAGGACGTGCGACAGATGAGTGATGGGACCCTCATCATTTGTGGTGAGAAAGTTCCATCACGAAACGTTGGGGCGTTGCTTTGTCGTCCACCCATCTATCGTCCATCTTGTCGATTCGCACGAGATCCTATCACCCCGACTAGCCATCCTACGACTACGCCCTCCACGTCAGAAGAACATCAGCATCATCAACTGCTACTCTTCAACATCACAGCTGACGACTCGGAACTAGATGCTTTCTGCGAAGACGTGGAGCAGGTCGTCCGCAACGAGAAGTCTTTCTACAAATTCGTTGTGGGCGACTTCAACGCGAAGATCGGGATGCCACTGGAAGAAGAATATAGGATCGGGAAGTTTGAATATGGGCTCCGGAACGAAAACGGCAACCGTCTCGTTGGGCTTCTCTCCGCCACACGACTTTTCCATGCAAATTTCGTCTACATGAAGAAAGAACATCGCCAGTGGACTTGAGAATCGCCCAACGGAACGACTCATGCGGAGATCGACCACATTCTCACCACCCGAAGGTGGAGCTTGCTCGATGTCTCAGTATTCCATCCTTCTGCAGTGGCTCCGATCACCGCTTCCATCGAGCGAAGATACGACTCAGTCGAAAGCTGGAAAAGAAAGTCTGTCATAGTGCCGCGAGAAGGAAGGAAGTCGTTTATGACGGTAACAGGCTGGAAGAGCTCATATCAAGCTGTGACTGACCCATCGAGGAGGACCCAACGTACGAGCACGACCGGCTTCTGAGAAGAACTTGGACCACATCTCGAAGACCACCAAGGAATTGCTCGAAAGAAGAAGATCATTGAAGCAGGATCCGAATGCAACTCATCTCGAGCGGCTGGTAGCCAACGCCAGTTGCAGATTGCAGAATAGCTTCGCAGGGGAATCTGAGGAAGTACAGGCAAGCCAAGATACTGGAAGCAGCTGAAGGAAGACGAAGTCTTAAGAAGTGCCGAAGGAAGCTCTGTGAATATCACTGCCGCTGGCTGCACTCTTAAACGAAGACGGGACTCCGACTTCTTCCCGATACAATATGGAATCTATCGCGAAGAACTTCTACGCCAACCCGCTCATCAACACGCGTGCCGATGCCCGTTGTTACCAGATCATCTTTCCGTCGAA